ACACACACACACACACACACAGAGTCGGATGCAGAGGGTTGAGTTATATGTACCCCTAAATTCAGAAGTTGTACTATTCTCAACTGTGGCACATCATCATCGATCCACACAGGTCCTTCTTTTATTTAACCTGCACATTCTTTACCTTCTCTGACATCTTAGTGCCTTAATCTGGAGGCTACCAGTATCTGAGATTTCTATTCTATGAAGCTTTATCTTCCCCAGTACTGTTTTAGGTAATTGGCACTTGTATACACTGACTTTTCAATTGGGTTTAAAAGTATTCCATCTTATCACAAACTAAATTAATTAAAAAGTGCTGGCAATTAATAGAGCATTCATATTTTATTTACATATATAACCAGATGTGATTGAAATGGGCAACAGTTTGACAAAGCATAACGTAAAATTAAATATGTACAATTAGAAAGCATTGTCCTTATTTTTAACTTCATTTCTTCTAAATTTTATCCACTGTAATTTAGGTTCTAGGTCTCTGAGCTACTATACTATTTTTATTTCAGTAACTTAGCATAATGAAGATCCTTTAGTGTCACCGTAGTAGTTCAGGAATAGTAGAGGTGATAACAATATAATCACAGTGAAATTATTTGTTACATTTTAAACAGTGAGTCAATGATAGAAACAGTCTTAAGACTCTGTGTATCCAATTTCCTCATTATCTGTATGTATGTGGCATTATATCTGGGATTGAATTATTGATGTAATAAATCTATTTGAGTCTTTATCTGGATTCCAACGAGTACATAAAATGAAGAGAGAATTAGCTATCTACTAAAATAAAAGTTGGTGTCAATCAATCTTTATCGAACTTAAACAATGTACAGGACAGGATATAAATGCTGCAGCAATCTAAAAGTTAGAATGCTAAAATGTAATGTTACGGTCTTTTCTGTATGGTATTCTTTGTATCAAGGCACATAATCCACCTAATTTCCATCTCATATCTAATAGATTCTTATAATTAATAAATGTGCTTTAAAACATCACTGATATAAAAATGGTACATGTGTTTGGTTTTATTCAAAACTTCTTAATACTGCAAGAAAATGAAATTCTTCTCTCATCTCTTTTTCAATAGATGGGTTTAAAACAAAAAAACCCACCACTTCTGTCTATAATTTAATCTTTGTGTCCTGTAAAGTCCTGCTTTTAGTATCTGCTCTCAGAATTGAACTGTTTGTCAAATTTCCATTAAGCTGAAGGTGAAAAATTAATGAACCACTTACTTCAGATATTTCAGAACTAATGCAAGTCTGTTAGTCATGCAGCACAAAAAATCAAAGATTTGGGTTTGTTTAATTATGGTTTAGGGTTCACTCATGTTTAACTATTAAATGCATTATTTCATATGCTTTATAGAGCATTCTAGAGAGAAAAATGGAATATCATTACTGATTTTTTATTAACAGATAAATACACCTTAAAGATAATTTTATTTATTGAAATACTGTTTTTAACCTACAAAAGATAATTTTAGAGCAAGGTTAATCAGTGAATTGTTGGAGATAGATGGGTTTTGAAAGTTCATTTAATATATCTGCTAGAGGAGGGTAGTAGTTAGCCGGGCAGAAGACATAACTGTTTAGCAAACATAGAATTATAACTTATTTCTCAGTCGTACCCTAGCTCTATTTTGTAGGCATTCAGAAAACCAGTAAGACAGAGGCATTGGGAGTATTTTTCAAACAATTGTTGATTCGTTTTGTTTTTCCCTTAATTATTGAGCTCCTGTTTTGTTTCTGACAATGAGCTAGGCATTGCGCAACATGCAATGATACAGATGACTTGGTCCTTGTCTTTGAAGAATTTAGAGTTTAGAGGGGGAAAACAAAGTGCTTTTACACAGTGAGGATGTTAATTAAAAATGGCAATCATTGCAAAAAAGGTGCAGGTATATCACATAGAGCTGAGCTTCATGTACAAAATGACTTATGTGTTGGGCTTTGAAGGAAGTGAATACTTTAGACATGTGATACATGAGAAGAATAAGCAAAGTGAAAGGAATGGCTGAAGCAACAATATGGAGGATGTAAATCAGAGTATGTAAGAGGACAGCTCAAGTTTTAGCATACCATGTATGAGGAAGAATGATGGGAAATAATGTTGGAAATTCAAGGTTTGAGTGTGAAAGGCCTTGAATGACAAGCTAAAGAGTTAATTAGTTGAATTGGGAGGAGGTGAAATCACACAGCATTTTAAGAAGTTTCACTTTTATTGGAAATGTGTTAGTACCCAATATTCATGAAACCTTCAGAGTAATGGATTGCACACTGCACGTCAATACTATTTCATTTTCCCACGCACACTAAAAGCTCCAAAGGTAATGGCTGAGGGAGAAAATACATGCTGGGAAAAGCAGATGGCCATCCCATGGCCTCCCAGCCAGTGTCTCCAGGCATTGTCTGTGCTTTCAGATGTGAATCACTTTGGCCTAAGATGCAGCTGGATCAGCAGGAGATGGGACTGGTCACTTTTGGCTAAGAGCAGCCCCCTTGTGGTCTGCTGAAAATTTTCTTCAGTTTATACCAGCAGGCTATATGACTGATTATTAGCATCTGCTATGTGGGCGTGTCTGTCACCTGTGCAGTCTCACAGAGCCCCCTCTCAGAAGGGCCCCACACTTGATTTAATGCTGTGCTATTGCTATGTTGAAATTTCATACTTTTTGAACAAGACCTCCCATGTTGTCATTTTGCTCTGGGCCCTGAAAATCATATAGCCAGTTGTGGTACCATAACATGAAAATGGTTGTGAAACAATGAACTACACTGTAGTCAGAATGCACTGTCATATATATCTATATAAAGATTCAAAATTATATCTATAATTCATTATGAAATTATGATACTAACACTGTGCTTATATAACAAAACAGATTCTAAGCTTAAATCTTTATTATTTTTTCTTCAAGGCCATGACTTCCATGGCTGCCACAGGCCTAAGCTAAATATAATTTTATAGTCTTATGGTTTTCCAGATGATAAATTAAGGAAACACTTCTGCAACATATTTTCTCATTATAATCTGCCTCCTGTAGCCTGGACACTAGTATCATTGAGCTCTGCAACCCCTGAGGTCCTATCAAATTAAATTCTAAGAAAACTGTTAGCAATTATTTTCCCTAATAAAAGTTCTGAAAAATATAGCACTGCATTTTAAAACATTATTGGCTGCCTGATAGGATCATTCCATTGTATATTTCCTTTTCTCAGTCAGTAAAAATATATAAACTGAATAAGTACTTTTTTAGTTATTTCTTTAAGCACAGTTTAGTGTATTCTCTCCATCCTCTTTACTCAATGAATATTTGTGTATTTTTCTTTTACTTGTTTTATCATAATTGTTTTCTCTCCTTATTCTTATTTAATTTTTGTTTTTCAAAGTTATAGATGAATGTAGTTCATTTAAATAGTCAAATATTTCAATGAGGCTTAATTTATAGAAATGTCACCTTCTCCCACCTGTCCCTATATCTCCACTTCCCTCTCTTTATCTCCCCAGGACAAACACTTAATTGATTTTAACATCTTTAGTTGTTACCTACTTTTTTATATTTACCTCCCTGTCTCTCAGTAGCATGTTTGAGTTTACTTCACTATTTTTCAGTTTTATCCATTATATTGACTTACCATTCTAAAAGATAAAGATTTAATTTTCACAAGTCTCTATGTATACCACTGCCTGATTTATGCCCTTTTTGTTTTTCCTAGACAAATCAATTTTTTGTTGAATCAGCGGTCATTACTTGTATTCTTATGATTACGTAAATATTCACATCGTTTGATAATTACATTTGTTTCTTGCACAATTTTGATATCTTTAAGCTAATAATTGTCTCACTTTATAAATTTCTGTGCATCTAGAAACTCTCGAGGTCCTAACTCTCTGATCTTACTGTAAATATTCTCTCAATATATTAGCATGCATCTGATATTCCCTTTAATTTTTTCTTCCTGGAGACCACCCTCCTGAACCTGCCGACCTCCTGCTTTTATCCTCACTAGTCTGCTGCACAGGGGCCTCCCTAGGACTGCCCTTGGCTGAGACCTGCTACTTAACAATGGCAAAATTAAGGTGATTTGACGTTCAGTATATGGGGGGGATTTATTGACTGATGGATTTTAACGTAGGATGTCTTGGGTGAGGTGTTTTATTGATAGACCTGATTGTCAGTATTTTTAGATAGTTTTCTATTGACCTCATCATATCTGCTGCCAGTCAATCTTCTATTGCCCTACCTGGAGGGAAGGATTCTGGGCACCAAGACAGTAAAACACCTGAAGAGTGCTGGCATTCATAATACCATCCTGTTTTAAGTATGGTATGTTTCTGTGCATTTGGTATCTCCCTATTCAGTGCCTCACTTTAAGTTTTTTGCTGGAGTGAGGAAAGAACAGGCACCCATATCGTCTAGTTGTAGGGTTCAGGAGGACAGACCCCTTCACAATCAGAATTTCCTCAAATCCTCCTGTTTCCAGCTTCATCTTCACCCCTACTTTAATAGGAAGTGGTATTGACAATTCCTATGCCTTTCTGGGTTCTGTCGTACAAACTGTGCTGCTTTCTATCTTCTCCACTGTGGACTTAGGTTTTGGTCTCCTTAGGTCTGTTACATCATCTGAAGTTTACTTACCTACTTTCCAAGTTCTAGAATCTTTATTCTTGTCTATTCTCTTGGCCCTTGTGCATTTATCCTTTTTTTATTCCTTTGTTGTTATTTTAGTGGAGTTTTATGGCACAGTGAAGGTAAGTGGATGTGTACAATCTGCCATCTTTAACTAGGGTATACAATTATATTTGGACTAAATTTTATGAAGTGCCTCAAATTGTTTTTAATAAACAGTGTATAACTGGAGTAAATAAATGAATGAGCATAAACTTACCATTCATAATTTAAAAACTTATTACAGAGAACTTCTCTTCAAGTGTTTTAAATTTCTGTTTGATGATTCTATTCCTTTCACTTTTGAATACAGATGGAAGCTTTAGACAAAGCAGATCGAACCTCACCTCTCTGTTAGTGCAGCCCATCTCTGCATCCCTCGTCGCAAAACTGATCTCTTCAGTGAAAGCTAGAACCAAAAATGATGTCTGTAACCCTCTAGAACTTCCAAATAATGGTAAGTATTTAATGTCTTTCTGTATGTCTTAGAGTTTTTGAAAAGACCATGATCATTTTTAATCTTTCAAATTGACATGTTTAGAATTATTCTTTTCAAAAATCATTGACTTTTGATGAGGTGAGCGTTTATTCTTTTCTGTGGCTCTTTAATGACATTTTTGGAAAGAAATTTTGATAAAGACTGAGAGTTGACCAAAGAAGAGATAAAAAAAAGAAAAAAAGCATTTTGAATTGCTATAAAGAAAAGTAGCTTTACAAATAAAGCATTTTGCACATTCATGAAAATCTGCTTAACATAGCTTCCGGTTTCAGCTTCAGCAGTTTCATTGCCTGCCAAGATTCAGTGGATAGCAGACAGCTATCTGGGGTATGAAGTCTTTTAGTATAAAGCATTAAAGCCTAATTCCTGCAATTGACTAAAAAATCCCTCTGTCTATACACATCATCGCCCGAGAGATGCTTCTTGTACTGCGGCACAGTTTGTCAGGCCTTGTTGGACCACATAAGATAAAACTGAAGTAGTTAAGCTACCTGTGGTGGGATGAAAGCCACAGGATGCATCTCATTCCTGCCTCCAGCCTGGGCGTTGGAGTTCTAAAGAAGAGACTCTACATTTTGTTAAATTTGTATCTAGTTGCTATGAACTACAACTCAAGGGCTCTGTTTTTTTTGTGTCCAGACTTGAGGGCTCAACTAGCAGTGTTTTATCTCATGTTTTTCTCCTGACAACAAAAGCATACCAAAAAAAACATTCAGAGGAAGTCTTTTAAAAAATCTGAATATAGTCAGGATTGCTCTGTTAGGAACATGTGTTTTTCAAAATCCTGTAGACTGGGAGTCTCCTAAACTGATTAATAACTGAACAATTGGGAAATATAGAGAACAATGATAAGCCAGTATCCTCAAAGCAGGAATGAAGAGGCCCTCAAGCAGCCTTTTGCTTTATTTGCTTTTTTTCTGTCATTTATTCTGAGCCCCACAAATTGATTATGGGCTCTATTTGTTAAAATATGTAAACAACATCACAGTATTACTTTAGTTACAAGAAAGCTCTGGACTTGTAAAAGACCAAATTTAATCAACTAATTTGTTTAATACATATTCAGAGCCCCTAAGGCATTCCAGTCACTGTCCTGCCCTCAGCGAGCTGACAGTCTCCGTGCTAGCTCCATAACCACTCACATGTCACCTGCCCACTGGAAGCCTCTATTTCTGCATCTATAAAAGATAGCTACCGCTCTATCATCTTGAGGAGTTGTATCAGTACTTTTGTATACTGTAAAATGTTACGTGAATATTAGTAGTATCTTGCTTGTCAATTTCCTTCCCTACACACATAATAATGTCTTAGGAAAGCAAAACGACCCTCTCTAGCTGTTATGTACATAAAAAATTAACAACATGTATGAAATCTAGATGAAAAGTTGCAAGATGTGCTGAAACCTCTTTGCAACTCCAGTGTTACAGAAGCAATGAAATAGGCTTGCTTTCTAAGGAATTATCCAGTTTTTCTCATGAATATAGTAATTATTATTGTTTTAGAAAATTCAGGAAGAAACATTTAAATTACTGAAAAGACATTTCATGTTATAATGAGTGTAAGTTCTTCATTTTAAAAAATACAGGCTATTACGCCTGCCTGTCTATATATCTATCTGCATACCTATTTATCTCAGTAGACATGGAATTGTATGGATCTGATATGACATGGCTTCCTTTAAGTCCCAATGTAACAAATGATAAGCCTTTTTTGCCATAACAAAAGATTTTATAAGCAGGCCTAAAAAATATTTAAAAACTGCAAATTTGTTTTAGAGCAGGGTGTGTTTTAAAACTTTCAGCCACGAACATGGGGGAAAATGTCCAGAAAAAATGAGGAAAGTTTAAATTTGTACAGACAGCTTATATATGGCATGCATATTGATTTGGAAACTACTCTTTTTTCCGAAAAAATTCAATGAGCTAGAACACTTTAGAAAAGACTAATATATGTGCTAACAAATGCAAGCTGTATGTTAAGAGTTACTGTACTGGGCAATGACAGCACCTCAATTTTATGGCTCTTCAAGCAGCCAGTTACGCAGTGAACCTAGGAGTCTACAGAGTAATCTGTAGAACTAAAGATCAGCATTCATGAGCTGCCAGTCTGAAGTCCTTGGACAAAAGGGAAAGAGCTTCAGAATTCACTTTGAAGGACTGTTCATCAAGGATTTTAAACAGAGTGAACATAGGTGGGAAATCTATTGTCCAAAGTCCACAGAAAGTAGAGTCAATTCTCTGTTTCCTGGGGAGTGCAGATTGGGCTTACCGAGGGTGACACAGATCTGTCATTCACCCAGAACTTCTCAAGTTTCCAGCTTTCTGTCTCGACAGTTTGATTTTAGAAAAGATTCAGCTTAGATTTGGCTTAGAGGTTTTGTTTGTTTGCTAAAAGACCTAAAGGCAACCTTAGATGTACACTTTTAAGCAAAATTACTTTAACAAATATTTTCTCATTTTTGAATGTTTCTCATCAATTTTTATAGCTTTTTATAGTCTTATATTGTTTTTCAATTACCTATCACTCCTTATAAATTACAGAAACTCCAGCTGAATTTTGGAGTTTATATATGATAAAATCCATTAGAGCATACCCTATCTTTATATTTTTATGATCTATTTTTCACAATGGGCCAACTTTGTCATTTGCTAACCAAGAAACTGCCAGAGATTCCTCAATGCCTTTCTGGTTCTATATCCTGCTATTCCCTCCACGTATCCAATATTTTTCCCTATTATTCTATTCAGTATTATCCAAATAAGTCTTGCGTATCTGTGACTTTAAGTGGTAAAGGCCCAGTATCTGCTAAATTCTTTAAGCTCAGTGCAAATGCCTTCTCCTCCATAAAAATCCATTTATGATTCCACTCAGGTTGGAAGTAGTCTCTCTTTCTGACTCTCTCTGCTATACTACTTGTTTTTATGATATGATATTCTTCTGAAGTAGAGCATGAGCAACTTGGATTTTCATTAGAATATGTTGTTTCCTCTATATTTCTATGTGATTTCAATTTTTGATATCTTCCTTATGGTCCAGGGTATGATCTGTGTTCCATGAGCTTTTAAAAAGGATGTGTGCTAAATAGTTGTCCACTCTATGTATGTTCATTTAGACTAAGTTTTTTGAATCAGGTTGTTCGAATATTCTGTATCTTATTAGTGTTAAAATTTCCCAATGTGAGTATGATTTGTCCATTTTACTTTGCAGCTCTGTTCAATTTATTTTTAATTTCAGAATATCAAGAGGGTACAAATGTTTTTGTTACATGGATACCTGGTATAATTCTGAAGCCAGGACTTTTGCTCTGCCCATCACCAGAATAACGTTCATTGTACCCAGTAGGCGAGTTTTTATCCCTCAACTCCCTTCCCACCTTCCCCCTTTTTTGGTTTCCAATGTCCTTTATATCTCTTTGTGCCCATGTGTACCCATTGTTTAGCTCCCACTTATTAGTGAGAACATATGGTGTTTGATTTCCCATTCCTGATATATTTCACTTAGGATAATGGTCTCCATTTCCATCCAAGTTGCTGCAAACAACATTATTTCATTCTTTTTCTGTGGCTGAATAGCACTCCATGGTATACATATGCAACACATTTTCTTTATTCACTGGTGAATTGAAGGGCACTTAGGTTAATTCAACATCTTTGCAATTGTGAATTGTGCTGCAATAAACATTAGAGTGAAGGTGTCTTTTTTTGTAAAATGACTTCTTTTCCTTAGGGTAGAGACCCAGCAGTGGGATTGCTGGATTGAATGGTAGGTCTATGTTTATTTCTTCAGGAATCTTCATACTGTTTTCCATAGAAATTGTACTTATTTGCAGCCCCACCAACAGTGTATAAGCAGGCTGCTTCTAGTGTGCCATTGCGGTCCCCACCTCTCAGTTTTTGCTTTATATATTTTCAGATCATTTCTTATGTGTTTATAAATTCAAATATATCATATCTTCCTGGTTAGCTCAACCATTTATATGAAGTAATATTCTTTATTTCTAGTAATTCTTGCCTTAAGTTTTATTTGGCCTGATTTTAATTTAGCTACTCTAGCTTTTTCTTTCATTAGTATCTTTATGCTACATCTTCTTTGCTCTCAACCTTCTTGTATTGTTCTCTTTTATATATGTCTCATTAATAGCAAATAATTTGAATTTTAAATACAATCTGATCAACTTTTAACTAGAACATTTGGCCCATTATGTTTAATGTGATTATTATGCATTTATGCTTAAATTTTTCATCTTAGTGTTTCCTCTATGTGCTACATATTATGTTTTCCCTATTTTTAATCTTACTTTTTAGATTTAGATTTTTGTCATTATATTTTTCTCCTCTACTCCTTAGAAGTTATAAACTTTTTATTTGTATTCTTTTAGAGTTATTTTAGATACCCCAATTTCTTAGGGATCCCTGCTCTTGCTCTGCTTAATGCCAGGAAACTTTCTTCACAGTCTATTGGAAGGGAATGGGGGAGTGAAGTCCCATAGAATTCCTACTTTATATAGGAAGAGTCCTTTTTTAGAACCACATTCCTCTTTCCAATTTGGGCAGGCTGAGGACTTTGTCTTCTGACCTTTGAATTGCCTAAGGCTATAAAGATTAAAAGATTCTCCAACTTCAGAAAAATATTCTCAGTTTGAAAACAGATTTACTGTTTTACTTATTTGGGTTCCCAGCACAACTTAAATTTTGACCTAGTAATTCCTTAATTTCTTGCTAGTTCTTAGATGCTGTTCACAAGATTTGTTTTGTATTAACAACTACCTCTAAACCAGGGGTAGAAATTGTTACTACCTATAAACCTGAACGGGTAAAAAGAGAGAGTAATAATAGGAACTGGCAAGTACTTTAGCTGTGAGAGAGAAGCTATGGCTGTCAGTCAAGCAGGGCAGTCATTGTCAGGAAATAAACAGCCAGGGAGAGCAATGGAGAATAAATACTTCAATCCTTCACTTA